CGGGAGCAGCGTAGCTTTTCTGGAATAGTGGCTGATTTTGTACAGTAGAGCGGCGTTGCTTTTCCGGAAATTCAAGGGCCAGTGTAGACAGCTCGCAGCTTATTCCAGAAAAGCGGCTGATTTTCCGGAATAAGTGGCCCAGTGTAGACACAGCCGAGCTGATGGGCACAATCAGTCTGGTACAGCAGTGAAACTAAGGTAGTCTCCCTTACCAGCCTTGGCTCTGTGCTGACCCAGCACTGTCCCTGCAGCTCCTAAGGGATACAGGGGGTCTCCGTGCTCTACCTCCTTCCTAAGTGCCAGTTCCCCTTGGTGCCTGCAAACAGAGGGGTGTGCAGGTCACTTTTGCAATCTACCCAAGATAAACACTACACTCCCCAATCCCTGCCAGTACCCAAGCCTGGTTCCTGACCCCTCTGGCCCTCCTGCACCCTTTCCCCCAGCATGGTGAAAGTGAGGGAGGGCAATGGAGTAAACAGCAATGATCCCCCTATTTTTTTCCAGGTGTGGAATACGTTTTATGTGCACTGAGGTATGTCTGGCTGTGTCGCACCAGTAGACACACAAGCTGCTGGCCGTGGGGGATCTGCTAATCGCTGGGGTGGCATGTGACTCTCTCCAACATGCCCCCCAAGCGCTCAGCTTGCAAAGAGCAGCTGGGCGATGGTCTGCAGGTTTATGGGATGAGCCAGTTGGCGACACTCGTCCCCTGTTTAGTCCTTACCCCAGCAGGGGCAGGCGCCAGTCACCTACCCGTATCTGCTTTGGACGGTTTGTAGCGTCTGGTTTTACTTTTGTGGAAAGCCTCGGGCAGGACCTCCCCAGGGCTCAAGAAAAGCAGGACGGGTCCGTCAATGGCTGAGGGCCGGGCCGGTGCCCCGAGCCTGCTTGACAGCAGCTGGCAGCGGGTGGGGGAGGGGAACACGGGGCGATTCCCGCTTCCCCTCACGCCCGGTGGGCACCCGGCATTGGCCCCGGCGGGAGACGCGTCCCGGGCGGGACGGAGCCTTGGTCTGAGCCCGTGTGACCGGCCTCTCCCGCCGCCCTTCGCTC